AAAACAAATCTATCCTTAAAGGAAACCTATTATAAGAGAAACAAGAAGGCTGCCCTCTATTCTGAAATTGCTTTTTGCCAAGCTGTTATATTAATCTGCTTGCTACAAATATGCAAATCATTTAGAATTTTCCCCTGCTATCCGGATCTGCATAATTGTTCCAGGTCAGTGACTAAGAAACTATTGAAGCCCACTAGTAAACAGCCAGGCAACTAAAATTTAAAGGAGTATAATTGTTCACGTGTCTCTCATGACAGGTTTACTCTGATCATTGCCATGACTGGTACCCATCCCTCTGCCCAGTTATTCTAAAGCCTCCTTTTTTAACCTAAAATTTAAAGCAGCTTCATACTTTATACCTGCACTGTGCACTGTATTACACAGAGCAGCTCCGAACCTCTTCTTCTGGGGTCCGCCACAGGTGCTCTCCACTACTCCTTTTCTGTGTGTACCCCCATAGTAAGCCACTTGCTAAGGGGGCAGATGTGCAGACTTGCTCCTGAGAGGGGCTGTGCATGTGTCCATGGACACACACAGTGCAGCCTAGCCCCGCCCCTGGCTCCCACCTCAATGGATGTGGTTCACAACTGCATGAGCCAATGACTCCCACTGCTATCAATCTGCCCTGTGAGATCAGGGAGAAAGAGCAGCGCTGCTGCAGATAGGCACAGCGGAGGATCGAGAAAGGACTCAGGAAAGTATTTAGGAGGTGGGGGGAGCAAACAATTCCCAAAAGGTTTTTTTTTTACCTTAATGCATTAATGTATAAAAACATTGTAACTTTAGAACCACTTTAACTTAAAGGTGATGCAAATTGTCATTAGATAAAGGGAATGTAATTGTGTACTATTAAAAAATAACATGTTAATATTGTTTTTCTTTTTCTTTAAGGTATCCATGAAATCTGATGTGCTTCCAAATAGTTGTAAGAGTTGTGGATGTTGCCCAGCTACCTATAGCTAAACATTGCAACTATCACACTTAAAGATACATTGTACAATACAATATTATTACTGTAAAGAAAAGATCTCACAAATGTGATTTAGTATTGTTTTGGTAAAAATACATTCAAACTTGGCAAAATAAATTTATAATACTGACTACAGGAGGTCACTAGCTTGGCACTGCCACCGTTACCAAAACTTGTATTTTGTTCAGTAAATGCAAGCTGTTCTCTGAATGGATCGGGTGGAGAGGAGGGATGGTGATGTCATGATCTCCATCTTGTCCAATCAGAGAATACCTTATATTCATTGAAAAAATACAAAGTGTTCTATGAATGGCAGTTTTGTTACCCCCTGTGTTTAGTGTGCAGATGGGAAGCTGCTCACACAGAACCCAAATAGGGTCAGTTACAACATTTAATTTAGACCAATGTAAAGCAGGCCATACAGTAGTAGAATTTTGTTGAGAATTTTGGTTTTAAGTATGTTAGTTTGATTTTCTAATCTTAAGTGGGGTCAAATCAACATTTGAAGAAGCATGATAAAAAGATTTTTCTCCAACAAATACATTTCTAAGAGCGTATGTGTTTTTTGTTTAGGAAAGCTAATTTATTCCAAAATTCAATTTTAAAAACAAACACAATTTTGAAGCACTTTCGAATGACATTCGTCATCAAATGTACTGAGAATATTCATACAAATTTATGTGCAAATGTTTCTATGAACGTTTGATCACCAATTGGCTAGTGCCAGCTTAAGTATGCAATACAGATAATTCCAGGTGTTCAGCTTTAAATATCTGTTCTCTCACCAACACTGCAAGGGATCTTTATGGTAGTGATAGACAAGCAAGGTAAATAGAGATAACATGTGGACATTGTGTTATGAAATGTTTATAACACTCCATTAATGGACTGATTTTTATTTTTAAAAATAAGAAAATGTTTGTATTTTACAAAATGTTAATATGCCATCAAATAAATTCCAGTATTTTATTTTGAGAAAGCATGAAGAAACGAGAAATGAAGCATAACATTTACTGTGGTCATGAAAGAAAATGGATGCATAAGCTAGGCAGTAAATTAATAAAACATTTGACTTGTGATACATTTTGCTTGAAGTGTATCTAAAGCCAAAATGTAATCATTCTGTCCTCTATTCAAAACCTGCAATACAATGCCAGGTCAGCATATACACTGTCCAGGCCCCCTCTCTCTTTAATCATCATCTGATGTTTGTATACAAAAAATATACCTATGTTAGATTTATATTTACCTTACCCCTGTTTGCTGTGAATGGCATCACTGTTGTCACGGAAAAATTACTGGGATCTTTTTCTTTATGTATGTATATGATTTGTTTGTTTAATGTTTACTTTTTTAAAAAATATTTTCTCTGTTTTCCCTTTTTTTCATTGGTATTTAGTTTTTTGTATTTTAGAGATATTTCAGATTTGAGTATGTATATTTTCAAGTAAATGATTTGTGGGTCCTGAAGAAGTTGGAATAACCTACAATATTGGATTAATTTTATATCCAGAGAGATGTTTGTACCTAGAGATGGTTATTTTTATATGTCAACTTAATAAACAATGTAATTTGTATGCATATTTGTGTCTGTGTGTATTACATATAGGTCCACTTGTGAACCCCTGAGGTATAATTAAAGTCCTACTTCCACAACCCAACTTGTACTGGGAAATGCAGAGCAGGTAAAATCTAGCAAGAAGACACTCAAGTCTGTTGAAAGAGCTTTTTCTCCTGAGATTTTAGCTGCTCTATATTCCCCAGGATCTAGCTGGAAACACTGCAGACAGAAAAGGGAATAAGATAAGTATAAAGCTAACTTTCTTCTAAATGGGTATATTTTACACCTGCTTTTTAAAGGAGGGAGTCCAGACAGTGTAAGTGGACCTTGACCCCATCTGGTTACTATGCAGCAGGACAGTGGTCTCTAGTTTCCCAATGTAACAACACAATAAAATCCGCACCTGGAGTTCAGCTTAAATAGGAGTATACCTCGGTTTCCATGTATTAAACGCATGCCAGTCACCATTAAGCTTGGGCCACAAAGGCTAAAACTGGCTAAATCTACCAGTATTGGTCCATCTTCAACTGGTTTTTTTTTTTACTTTAATATGTCATTGGCCTGCATGCCTAACTAACACGTTATGCAGCTTGTTCTTGACTGTTGTATGCAACTTTATGAAAATAATGAAAGTAATACAAATCATTGAACGGAATAGGAGCATTGTAAAACAATTAAGGAACAGAAGTCACCACCATCTAAGTGTAGTGTTTTCTTAAAAATAGTATAAAAGGTTTAAAATGCCCTTTGGAGCATCGGGACCACTCCTTTGCCAAATCAGATGGCCATATAGTTTGACAAAAGAGCAGTCAGCATGCCCCAAAACTTGCTACCCCACCCCTTGCCCTGACATCATCTTGTCCTATGTCACTTCTGTTCCAAGTCCCTGCCACTATATGCGTTCCACACTGGTTACAGCTCTCGGCTGCTCCCTGGGTTCCATCCTGCCCTATGCCCAGCTTTGCTTCCAAGATGAACTCTGCAGAATCGCAACAGGCACTTCCAGGAGCAACTCTGCAACACCTGGCCACCTTCCTGCCAAACTCTGCGAATGTCCGCAGGACTGTGTGATATGCCCCTTTGATTCTACCTTTGTGCGTATATTTTAAATCTTTTCTACTGTTTTTAATAAAACACTACACTTAGATGTTGGTGCCTTCCTCAGTTGTCTTACAGTGCACAGAACATCCACTACTCTGTCAGAAGAGCTGCAGTCATTGCATGGTGGGACTTTTTAATCCTGGATTTCTACAAAGACACTAGAGATTCTTTTATTTTTACTGGTGGTTCCCTTTTCTCATCTTGCGCAATTAAGACATTTTTGCTTTTCACTTCAGAAATAGGAGCATGACTTAATGTAGAAGGAAAGGCTGGCTAAACAATAAACCAGCTTACAAATGTTGTCTCTCTATTGCCCTACCTGACACGTATAATACATCTAAGGGCTCATGTACACTGTAGCTCCTAAACTGAACAAAAGCTCAGAGGCACTCTGTACCACCAACACTGATTATGCGTAAGCCCCCTAACAAATATACATGGGCCTGTACACATCAGATGAATGAGTAATGCAATTTTATTTCTGCATCAGTTGTATTTACAAGATGCATTAAAACATTAATTTGAATCTGGCCTGCCAGGCCATTTCATGTGGCCCTTGCAACTTTTATGCAGCTGCAGGACACCACTCGTCTCTGCCTCCACCATATCTCAGCGTTTGGCAGAAGACAGGAGGACAGAACTCTTCCTCCAGATCCTGCACTTCTCTGTGCAGCCACAGAGAGGCTTGTCTCTGCCCCCCTGTCTCAGCAGTCAATAGCAGACAGGACTCTGCCAGATCCTGCGCCTCTCTGTGCAGTTGCAGCACCCTTTTTTCTCTGCTTCCTCTGGTCTTAGCATTCAGCAGACTCCACCAGCCGACACCAACCCTTCTCTGGTCCTCCTCCAGGTCCTGCACTTTCTGCTTCTCAGCTCTGCCCCCAGCTTTTTTACTGGCAGTAGCACAAGGTAAGGGGGGTGCACTGCGATGTAAGAGAGGGTGGGGGACTTTTGACGGCGGGGGATCTTGACATCTGATGCCTTTTGAGGGCAACCATAATGCTGATGGGGCCCATGATGAAACTGAGTTTAACACACCTGTTGTAGAGTGAACTATTTCTTTTTTTTTTTTTTCTTAACACTGTTTAATAAAGTTTCCTTTTATTATTCAGTTTTATGGCTAGTTTAACATTTCTGAGATGTTGGTCAGTAGTGAACACTTCTGAGGAATAAATAAGAAAAAAGTTGTAATGGCCTATGAGATGTGGTGAAAATACATCTCACATCACCTGTATTATGGAATGAGACCACATTATTCTTTTTGTTAATTTCAAGCAATTCTCTCATTGATTATTGAACAATGTTTGCATTTGTGTCATGCTTTTGCTTAAAAAAAAAGTTCAGTAAATGGGAATATTTAATTTCTCTTACCACAATATCCTGGAGTCCCACACACAGTCTTCATTGTCACTTGATCATCCACAATTTTTGACAGCCCGAAGTCAGCTGAAAGTCATAGCATAAAGATGGAAACTAGTACTGAGCTTCACAAACAGATCACAAATATTCCAAAAACCCCCACAAGCTTGTCACAATCATTACATCGGTAATTACATACAATTTTCAAATGTTCTGATGTTTGACATCATACAACTCATGCAAATGGTATAGAACCTAGAGGCAAGAGGGGCCTGGTCCTCAGTACCCTTTTGCCTTTTGTCAGAAGTCTTCTCTGTACACTACAGAATTTTGTAATTTAAATTACCAGGATTTTTAAATGTCTTTAATGCATTTTAAAAACACATATATACGTTTTTTTCTTTCCCTGGAGTTCTGCTTTTCCATTTTGACCCACTTTCTCTGCATTGAGGATGCATGTAATACGTGCGCTCACACTGTGCATTGCTTCATAGTGACAGCAACTCAGAAAGGGAAGAGGGAGGGAGAAATGACTGAATCAAGGCAGATGAGGTTTTTTTTTCCTGTATCAGACTTGTTACCACCTTACCATAATTTGTACCATAATAGGTAAACTCCTTTCACAAAAGTGTGTGCTAAATTGTAAGGCTGTTTTCACACAAACAGGAAAAAGAGGCAAAAAGCAGGCTATTTTAGACCTTTAGCAAGTGAGCTGATTCAGTGTATTGTACTCAATGGCTCAGTACACGTGACCAGGGTGGTGTGGTCCCTCACTGTTATCTGTAATGTTTGGGCTGTGACCGTCTATTTGCTACATCACTACTGCTGGCAGATCCTGTACAGCTGTTGGAACAATGAATGGATTGGAAGCAGACCACTGCTCCATCAATATGAGCGGTGTGAAACAAGCCCGAGTTGTATATTAGTGCCTAGTAGATTTCTCATTAAAGGGAGCCAAAATGCACATAGAGATGCTTCTATAAGCCGCAGTGTCCCTAGTCCAAATTTAGAGGACAACTAGGCTGTAGTCTGCCTAAGCTCTAAGGGCTCATTCACACATGTTAAAAAGGTATAAAAAAATATGTGAGCGCGCTAAAAGGGAGCAGCTATGCACAAAAGGTAACCAAAATAAAACCTCAATAAAAATGGTAAATACTGGTGCAGCGCTAAAAAATGGAAATAAATAATCTTTATAAATAATCTTATATGGAAGCAACTTATCAAAGCCAATGAATGAAGTTCATGAATAAACAATTGATAAATAAATAATAAAAAGTTCAAAGGTGACTATAGTGCTCTGAAGGTGCCTGCTTCAATGGTAATCCGGTGCTTGTGCAAATGGTTGTAGAAAAATGTCGCACTCACCAGACGCGCAATTAAAATGCACATGTAAATATATATCCAGATGTCCTCAAGATGGACCAGGTGGTGGGTTATCCTCCCTCTGAAGGGAAGGTGGCACATCAGATAATTCCAGGGCTTAATGATAATCCAAATCAGCCAGAGGAATTTATCATTCACATGTGTTGATTATGTATTGATGTAGAGGATGTGGTGATGTAGATAAAATGATCTAATTTGATATGTTGATTTAGGATATATTACAAAATGTATATAAAATGAAAAGCAGCCATGTAATCATACTCATTATTGCTCTCCTGCTCCCTGGAAAACAGTTTTTCCCAGTCTAAGCATAATACCCGCTTGGTTATGATGGTCTCCACCTTACATGTTATGTCCTGGGCAGGTCTTCACAGAATTAATACTTTTAGGTTTAGGGAGTCTCACTTTTAGCGCTGCATAGTTATCTTTATATCTATTTGGTGTTAGGATTTTTTGTGGACTAATTATTTTGTGTTCAGCTGCTAAGTATACAGTATATCATTTTACCACTTTTTTGGCTATACAGTGACACATAATTTTGACATTTCCGGCTTGCCACTGTCAGTATTGTTGGCTGGTTGATGCTTTTGCCTGCACACAGAAGTAAAAGGTGTAACCACATGGCTGCTCTGTACAACCAGAAGTGACTGGAGCTGCTTTGTCATAGTTCTCTATTATTTGCCAGCGCATTCTGGGATACCAGAGCCTACACTGTCTATCCCCTAATGCTCAGCTAACACTTTATGAATGCTGCACTAACACACCATAAATGCTATAGGTGTTGCTGAGGTATGGCATCACCATTGAAATCAATGGAGTTATTCAAATGTGTTTCTCTTTTTGGTCAATCACCAGGAGGTTTATTGCCAGTTATGAAGGCTGGGGAAGGAGATACCTAATTGGGGTGACCTTCCAGTTGGGGTTTTCCTCCCAGGTTTTATCCTGGAGGAGGCCCAGCGTAAGTCAGGCCTTGGTTTCTGGGCTTCTGCCATTAGGTGGTCCTTGCCTCCCAAGCCTGCTCCCTGGATGGTGTTGTAGAAAGAAGGGCTGAACCTAGCAAACAGAAGTTGGCTTGCATCCTAGATGAAGATGACTGCCTGTGCGGAGCATCTTAGGAGGAAGCTTCTGTGTTGAAGTGTCCTGGAGAACTGGGTATATGCTGCTGGTGGAGGACATTGCAAGAAGTTCTCACTGTTCAGCCACTAAAGTATTTGTGATTAATTGCATAGGGCCTGGGTTCTGCTAGGCTGGGACAAATACATACTTTCCTAGAGGAGAATTCTGGAGCCTGTCTTTGTGTATCCTGTGCACTAACCCTCTCTTCTAAATTTACTGAAGCTAAACGAATCTTGTACAAAAAAATATAAAAATGTACAAAAATGACTGCTGCCCAATTTCCTTTTACCTCATAGGAAGTCATGGAATCTACACTAAGAGTTGAAATGCTAGTGAAATGAGCCACCCGGGGGAGCTACCTCAACCATGCAGGTGTAAGAGGGTGCTACATGCATCATGAGAAAATACATAGGCTGCCATGGTTGACTTAAAAATTCTAGCTGCCTGACTGTTATGCTAATCAAAGTTTTCAATGCCTTCTAAATCATTAACCCAGAACTAGCATGCACATTAAAACTGACATCACTGGCTTCCAGTTCTGTGACTCTGAAATCAGGGGCTGCCAAATAATGAGAATTTTCAGAAGGAAGTCAGTATTGGAGTCCATGTATTTCTTTTATAACTGTTCTTAAAAAAGACTTCCATTCCAGTGAGAGAAAACCATTATGTGAACATGAAATACACTGATTTCCCCCTAAATGCTTCCAAAAAGAATTTATGAAATCAGCTCATACATAAAGCTGTATACCCATTTATGAACGTATAATGCACAAAAATTCAGCATTGAGAGCACAGCAATGATTCACCTTCCACAGGTAATGAGAGATGAGAAGATGACAGTTACCCTAGGCAGCTTTGTTGTATTTCAGGCCATTCTGACAAGGAACAAATTCTACGAGTACCCATAAATATCAGATCAGCCTTGTTCAGCACTTGGGAATTTCTACACTTTCATTCAATAATCTCACTGTAAATGAACACCAAACAGCTACATACAGTATATCCTGAGAAATCAAATGAAAAGGGAAAGCTGAACATGCTCTTTGGAAGTTTCTGGTTAACTTAGCATTTTCCATTGTACGTGTAGAAATAATCATGAGAACACACCTATGGCTCTCAACATATTGTGGCTTATAACACATATGTGGCTCTCAGCATCCTGTGGCTCATAACATACATGAAGCTTTCACTGTCCAGCAGCTCATGGAATACATTTGGGTATCATCATCCTGTGGCTCATAACATACATGTAGCTTTCAGCTCCCAGTGGCTTATAATACATATGTGACTCTCAGCTTGCTGTGGTTTACAACACACGTCATTCTCAGATGCAAGTGGCTCATAGCACACATCGTTCTTAGATCCCAGTAGTTTATAACATACGTGCCATTCTCAGATCTCAGTGGCTCATAGTACACATGTCGTTCTCAGATCCCAATGGTTTATAACAAACTGTATATGTCATTCTCAGATCACAGTGGCTCATACCACAAATGTCGTTCTCAAATACCAATGGTGTATAACATACTATACATGTCATTCTCAGATCACAGTGGCTCATAGCACACATGTTGTTCTCAGATCCCGGTGGTTCATAATATACGTCTTATTCCATATCCCAGTGGCTCATATGCCTGTTCACAACAATTCAGAACCTTTCTCAGTTAAAAAGGTGGAGATCTACTTTAACTTAACTAAAGTATCCAAAATGTACTCTTAAAAAAGTGATGTTTGGCTTGAGGTTTTAAACTTTTAAACTTTGAAAATATCATTTAAGCAAGGAAAAACATTTAAGGGGGTTTTGCTGATTCAGGAGGAAACTAGGAAATCTATGTACAAGCACCATCTACTTTAATGCTGATTGAAGAAGATTTTTCCACTTGGAACTCCTGTTAATGAACTGTAATAAAAGCACTACCCAGCAAATCTAAATGTCCACTTTGACAACTACCCTGCTTTTCTCTCGGTGTCACTGACCAAGCTTTGAAACATAATGGGGTGGATTTGCTAAAGGAAGATATGCTGATCACTTTGCAACGAAATGTACCCTTAGCATAATGGATGAGTTCATAAAACAAAAAAAGGTAGCGCTATCAAATTAAATGTCCAAATCAAACAGTGAAATTTAAATGACCAAAAAAAGTCTCTAAGAATTTTCTCTTTTTTTCAACAGTGAAAAATGTCCATCACCATAAGAACAGATTTGTGCAAATCCACCACCAACAGAAATGAATAAACTCACCTGGAGCTTTGGACTAACGTCACTATGCTCTGTAAGAGGCTGTCGTCTCGGCTTTCTGGGATTTTAAACTAAATGTGTTTGTTGCTAGTGTCGACTATGACACTGTTCCATGTGAGTGGATTATGATGAGTTTTTACAAATAAACGTGTCGTACGGTATCACACGATCGTTTGCTTTGTTTTTCTTTTCTTTTCTGAGCCTGTGTATGAAGTTCTTGGAATTCGGTCTGGAAGTTTTTGCTGCTGAGTTTATAGATCTGCAGAATATTGCTCCCAGAGAGGATAAATAAGTCTCTGGATGTCTTAGTCTCCCTGATTTGCAATATACTACATCAACAAGCTGAGAG